CTCTCTCTCTCTCTCTCTCTCTCTCTCTCTCTCTCTTGTATGTAAATCTCTTGATCCCCACACCTGGATTTTATAAAAGAGCCTTCCTTTTGTGGACTCTCATCTGCTAGTTGTACCTAGGGGCTTTGTTTCTTAATGAACATTCTGGGTCTTACTGTGCAGCCTCAATTAACCTTGCATCCAGGGATCTCTCTCTGCCTTTATTCCTGGGTGCTAGAATTGAAGGCATGTGCCGTTGCACCCAGCTTTGCATTGTTTTTTAGTCTGTATATGTATGTGTCTCTTTAACTGACAAGATACATCAACATTTATAAGTTATTGTATGATGTTTTATGTGTATAATTTTAAGATTTAATTTTTATTTCTATATGTTTATCTGTTGTTTCACATTCAAAGTAAACATCCCAAACATTTCCCCATGCCAAAACCATTCAAAGTCTATCTTTTAAAAACATAAATAAATAAAAGTGTATTGTAACTTCAATTTTTTTCAAATGCCTAGTGTTAATGATGATTCTTAAATGCTTTAACCTCCCTTGTAGCCCACCACCCACCAGAGGTAGTGGGAAAGAAAGGATACAGAGACTGGGTGAGAAGTGGACCTGTTTAGAAAGGTTCTTTGGAGCAACTCCCATCTGTGTTGTCTGTAAATCGGCAGTTCAGTTCACAGGTTAGCAGCAAGCAACAGCTCGATCCACTAACAAACACTTCACAAATACACCAGCAGTCCAGTTCAGTAGAGTTAGGATAGCAAACACAAATCAGCAGCGGTAACACTGTGCCTCTCTCAGTGAATCGAAGACCAGCAAAGATGCAAGACCCACAAGCATTGCACAGCTAGCTCTATAAGCAAGCCTAGCTCAGAAGTTTTTCAGTACGTTTCTCTTTCCTGACAAATGCAGCTCAACTACGCAGTGTTAGGTGGACCAATACATGTGTGTCATTAGTAAAGAATCCACCACGTGTCCTTTCATGTGCTTGCTTTTAGCAAAACATCCTTTCACTTGTGTCTGCTTCAGCTAAACATTCATGAGTCTGCCTTAGCCTTTCACCTGTGTCTGCCCCAGCAAAACACCATCCAACCAACTTTCCAAAGAACCCTTAAGTTTCCACTTCGGTATATAGTTGTCTTTGTTGTCCATACTCACCCTAAAATACAATAGCAAAGACCTTTATTTTCCTGGTGGTACCAGTATCTGGACCCTTCTGCATTCTTGTGCTCTTCCTCTGAGCCCTTTTTTAGCTTTGACACAGTATGACTAAGTTGGCCTTGAACTTTCCATCCACCAGGTCCCGAGAAGCTGGGATCATAGACCTGTACCAACAAATCCAACATCTTTATGGTTTCTAACTATAACTTAATGCCCATTGGTCAGCTTCTTCCACCTTTCCCCAGAACCCTACTATTCATAGCATCTGGTAACCATTTTTCTACTCCCAATTTGCATGGGATCGACTTTTATCATTTCTATTGAGAGATTGTGTGGTACTTGTCTTTCTGCACCTGTAAATATCACTTAACACAATGATCTCAAGTTTCATCTGTGTTGTCCCAAGTGACAGGATTCCATTCTTTATAGTTGAAATGTACATTATATATATGTACATTTTTAGATGCTTTCATCAGCTGGTCAACACTCAGGTTGATTGCACATTTTTTATTGCAAATTGTGTTTCAACAAACATGGGAGTGCACATGCTTCATTAAATTACTGATTTTGTTCATACTTGTGTGCATAGAAGACAGACGACAGACAGGGCTAGATAAACTATTTTTTTGAAGTTGTTAAGGACAAATTAGGCGGAAGGCACAGAGATTGCCCACATATAACTTGTGCCCTCGCACACAGGGCTTTCTGATCCTCCCTGTTTGCTATAAAATGAAAGCCATTGTGTTGCAAATAATAACCATCTAGCACACAATAGATAGGTTCATCATTGTGTATTTGTCTGAACATGTAACCTAACAGTTACAAAGTCTAAGACCTGTGAGACTAGAAAAGCCTACTAAAGGCCCACAGTAAACCTGAAAACTCATGCCAGCTTAATGTCTAAGGGGTCACATTAGAGTGATAGTCCACTGTTGACAAAGCCCTTAGGTTTTCAAAACCTGGGTATCTAGGTTGCATGTGTAATTTCCTGATGTCGAAACAAAGTAGACAGACAAGTATGTCTGCCCATGCCTATAATCCCAGCATTTAGGAAGCTAAAATGGGATGATCAAGGACTTAAAGCCATCTGGGCATGGTGGCACATACCTTTGGTCCCAGCACTTGGGAGGCAGAGACAGGCAGAACTCTTGAGTTCCAGGCCAGCTTGGTGTGCATAGTGAGTTTCAGGATAGGTAGCACTATGTAAAGAGATCCTGTCTCAAAAACAAACAAACTAAAAGAATTTAAGGCCAGTCTGTCTCACCACAACTAACTAAATAAAATTGAAGACTTAACAAAATTCATCATTGAGGGTATGCTGGCCTGTGGTAGATAGCCTTTTGTCCTCTAACTAGTTCCAGGCTTACAAATACGTAGCTCAAGGAGAAAGAG